TGCTCTGCCGAGCTCACGACGACTCCCTCGACAAAAATAGCGTAAAAGCGGCCTAAAACAGTTTTCCAAACCCCACAGGAGTGGAGAAACAACCAGTTCTTCAATTATCAAAAAATTGGACCATGGTTTCCGAATTCCACCACCCCCCCCCCCCCGCCCCCCCAAAAATGGAGAAAACGAAGACCTCCCTCATAACCAAACGGCTCGACTCGGCTCGAAATGAATTCTAGCAAGAGAGGATTTTTATCTTCTCCTGCTTCTAGACACTGGAGGGGTGAAAGAGACAACAAGATCTTCGAAAATATAGTCAACTCTCTCGTAAGCGACCACCCTTGGTGCTCGACAGAGTGGTCGCCTACGGGTGGTAGTCGTCTACAGGAAAAAACAAGAAAATAAGCTCAAACTGAACTGATTAACGTAATCACATAAAGTTATTACCTTACAAGCTAGAACTTAGGCAAACAAGCTACTGGCAATAATGTTTCACATGGAATAGCGCTTAGAAACATTTTGCATCAATGTTACGATTCACTTTTTTAGCTACAGATCTTTTTACAGTCATCTTTTTTGTAAGTCAACTGCTATAATCTATCAGTACGCTTGGTGAGCGCTATCAAAAACTGACCTTTTTTGTCACTGGAGGAATGGTTTACTCACAATCATACGTGAAAACACCTGATGGTAGCTTAAGTGAAACAGAAAACAAAAGAGTTATTCAAATTTCTGGTTTAATAAGTGGTCGTGGTCGTCTAAGAAGTTTACGAGTGATCGCTTATGAGAGATTTTTTAAAACAGTATTTAACTGAGAAAAAAAAAGGGTTATAATATTTTCCAAGTTGTCGGGGTCGCTTACGGGAGGTGGTCGCTTACGAGAAGTGGTCACTATGAGAGATTTGACTCCAAGGTGTCTGTAAAATCCAGTACAGGCCCGGAACACCGTTATCTACCGATTATTATACAATCTGCGTTTAACTTCATAGAGGACATCCCTGTGGACATTCATGTTATGTTCAATTGGCAGCTGTCAAAAAGGGTATCCGCTGACCGGTGTTACAGTGTCATCGCGGCATCAAGTGTACAACTCATTGAGGTGACGTGTTTTATAATTATCCGCTGACCAGTTATTGGTTTTAATTGATCGCAGGCTCAGATCCATAATGAGAAGGCCATATAGTAAATAACTTAATATATAGATTTAGCCAGGGCTAAAAGCGAAGCTCCTATTAACTCGAATTTATAATTTAAATCAAACAATAAACTTGTATTCCACAAATCAGTTAACTTTAGAGCACATTCATGTGACTTTTGAGGGANAAAACACCTGATGGTAGCTTAAGTGAAACAGAAAACAAAAGAGTTATTCAAATTTCTGGTTTAATAAGTGGTCGTGGTCGTCTAAGAAGTTTACGAGTGATCGCTTATGAGAGATTTTTTAAAACAGTATTTAACTGAGAAAAAAAAAGGGTTATAATATTTTCCAAGTTGTCGGGGTCGCTTACGGGAGGTGGTCGCTTACGAGAAGTGGTCACTATGAGAGATTTGACTCCAAGGTGTCTGTAAAATCCAGTACAGGCCCGGAACACCGTTATCTACCGATTATTATACAATCTGCGTTTAACTTCATAGAGGACATCCCTGTGGACATTCATGTTATGTTCAATTGGCAGCTGTCAAAAAGGGTATCCGCTGACCGGTGTTACAGTGTCATCGCGGCATCAAGTGTACAACTCATTGAGGTGACGTGTTTTATAGTTATCCGCTGACCAGTTATTGGTTTTAATTGATCGCAGGCTCAGATCCATAATGAGAAGGCCATATAGTAAATAACTTAATATATAGATTTAGCCAGGGCTAAAAGCGAAGCTCCTATTAACTCGAATTTATAATTTAAATCAAACAATAAACTTGTATTCCACAAATCAGTTAACTTTAGAGCACATTCATGTGACTTTTGAGGGAAAGGCTAAGTGATTTTAGAGAAAAATAATTTGCAAACATTCCAAGCTAAGAGTGAACTTAATCTTACATCGAGTTGATAGCCTTATATGTACACCTAAAAAATAGCATGGCCATAATGGCTCTTGATCACAGTAGAATTATAGGCCTGGAAAACAAATTCTTATCATGACAAGAAAATAATTCCCGCTTAGCAGCCAATCAGAGCGCCCAGATTGTAGTTTATTGTAGCCATATACAAATATATGGGGAGTAAAACTTACGCAAGGAGTTGCGGAAGTAAATCATCTTATCACAAATAGAAAGTGACACATATATAAATTGAAAACTTTCCAAACATAAGCGATGAATAAATACTGAACCCTCGTTAGTCAAACAACAGCAATCGTTGTTAGGTTCTCTCTCTCTCCTTGTTGTATTTTGATCAATCGCGTTCCAAAAGCTGTGATCTTCTCTGTCAGCATCGAGATTCCGTTGCCCGTTTCGCTGGACAAAAATACGAAAGGCTCTGGCGTCATAACTGAGACCTTTATACAACGTGTCTACTTTGTAACAGCCTTATATCTGACAAAATGCATTGAACAACATTTCTTGCGAGAGCGCCTACAAAATTGGACCAAGTTTCCAGTATTATCATCAGTCTGTATCATTTCAGTCCGGCTAGATAAATACAAACATGCTTTATTGGTCTCCTCCCCAAGGTGGCTTTTTAGAACAATCATTATTTGCAATCATTACAAATTGCAATATTTAACTAATTACAACACTTAACTCTGTTAACTTATCACTGAACCTATTACTAGATGACTAAACTTTTCGGAGCACCTAAAGAACGGGGAAAGTTGCCACCCGCTGGAAGCATACAGGGATAAAGAATTTTATAATAGCCAGAAGCCCAGGGTTCTGTAATTGTTTAATTAACACCAAAATATCATCGCGATCGCACCTTCTTTTCATGATACTGAATACTGATCAAAAGCTGGGCTTACAAACGGTTAATACTAATTTCTGCTAAAAAGAGTTTTTTTAGAAAGCCAAAGACATGAGTAGAATGTCGTCTTCGTTATATTTTACACTTTCCTGTTCCTCAGTTTTCTCTTCACGGGACGAAAGCAGCTTTAAAAGAAGAAGCTTCTTTGCTTTACCTTCCAAAACAAGATGATACTTCAACTTGGAAATCACACGGCTGTGCTCTTGCGTCATGGATCTATAGTAAAACACGAGACAGATTACCAGAACTAACACGGGTAGGAGAAATGCCGCTGAACGCATAAACCGTAATGTCTTGTGAATCCACCTAGGCCAGCTTGACACAGCAGATGAGAGCTCGTCAATAATGAACCTATTGGCGTCGCAATCCATGTTCTTGAATGGACCACAGAAAGAGGTTGGCACTCTGGTTACGCCCCATCCAACAAGACCAATACACATGAAAAACGTGAGGAGCAATAGAAGGGCAAAAATCGAACTTAGCCTTGCGCCTTGAACGGGTTTGTCTGGCAGGCGATTGTTATAAAAAAGACTCACTTTCTTTATGTAGAAGAACACGATCATTTTCAGAACCCCTAAGATTGGAAGAATGGGGCTGAAGAACGTGCCAATAAGAATAAGGCACTGACCGTAAGCGAGGTCAATGACATTCCGAGAGATGTCGAACTCGGTAATACCAACTTTCTCCCTAAGGCATCTGCATTTCTTGCATAAAAACTTCCGTAGAGTCTCAAGTCCGAGGGTGATCAATAATACCACGAAAAAATCCACCCACACCAGCATGTACATCTGCGCCGCGATCTCGTTTTCCCAGCATTGTTGGCAGTGGGAGGACAAACTCTCGCTGTCCTGGATACGATCGTTAAGATCTTTATACAACAGGATCATCAGTACTGCAACCGAAGGAAGCTTGATAAGGATTCGTCTCAGCAGATTAAGCCCTAGCTCAAACTTTGGACCCCAGTCTTCAAACATGGACAGAAACTCGAAAAGCGGCGGCAGAATAAGATTAGGGATCGTGATGGCCAGAGACAGAGAAGACCTATAAAAATAAAGATGCTGATATAAGTATTAGAATTTTCCCTGTTGCAAAAGGGCAGAAAAAGTCAAAAAAGGGCAAAGAACTTAGCTCGCACTATAGATAAACTAGGAGAAAATATATAATTGTTTATGGCCTTTTTTAAAAGGCCTTGCGATGCTTTCCTCTTCAAAAAACAAAACTCATACTTCACATTAAAATTTCGTCTACTGTATTGCAACTGAAAGCTAAGTGATTCAGGCAGATATGTTACTTCGTCTTTAGAGGAACTTTCTGTTCCACAATAAGCATAAAAGTGTCTTTTTTTTGCCCGAGTTTATATCCCTTTTAACTCGTGGATATGCGTAGAGTAGGCACGAGTTTTCTTTGGCAATGCTATATGCCAATATGTCACTCACATAGGCGAAACATCTGCGTATACGTAGTAGTAAGAACGAGAGCGGCGGGCACAATATCAAAACCACAATTGTCGTAGATTGATCTTTTCCAAAGAACCTTTTGTTATCCGTGAAAAACGTATGTAATCTAATAAATATTGAAGATGATAAATCATATGAACTGTGGAAATACAAATATAAAGGAGCTATGTCATGAGCGTGATATTCTGTTTGAATATTTACCAATCAGTAAATAGCACTTTTCGCGCGTTGTGATTGCAGGCTCCCATAACTTGGAATGTCCTTGGCTGTTCACTGTTTTGCGACCGGAGCCAAGATGGCGTCTCGTTTCGAGACATTTTCGGAAGACGAAATTTGAGCGATAAATGAAGCATGCACTGCACTTGACAAAATCCCCGAAATCTTTGTAAACTGTAAACAAACTTCCTACTAACTATAAAGTGATGTTTTTAATTTACCAAAAGTTACTTTTCACCACTATTCACCTCCCCTTCGGGGATAGTTGTATATTAGGCCAATTGCGCTGGCAAGTCATTGCTTGTTGCCTTTACCAATACAACAAAGGTTCCTGTAGAGATATGACGAAGGTATTAAACAAATTTCATCAGGGAGAACTTACCATAAAAACTTTTTGGAAGATTTTTAGCGGGAATAGCATTAAAACTTGAAATATTGAGTTGGCCAACTTTTTCAAGTTTCAATCCACGTGTCGTCCATCCTTATCAGTCGACAGAAAACAGTTTCTATGCCTAAATATAGTCTAATACCTTCTTATCACTTATTTTCGCGAATTAAAAAAAAATTCGCGAAATTAAAGACGCGAAGTTTAGTGACCTATATGTAAAAAACCTTTATCTAAGTTTTCCGTCTGCAAGGAGTACATTCGAGTAGGATGGCTCAAATTTAAGTTCAACGCATGTCCTTATTCCTCATCATCTGACTAATCTTGCTGAATGATTAGTGCCTTGGTTGCTCATATCAGTGTACTTTTAAAAGATGTTATGTTGCTGACATTGTTGAACATTTCGGCCAGTTGCTTGTTGCGTTTCTATTTCGTTATGGAAATGGAAGTGTAAAAAACGAGCACCAGTGTACTTGACAGTTGCGAAATGTAATTACCTTGAAAAACGATGATTCGTCAGAATCGCGAAATTTAAGTACCGCGAAATATTTGTATTCCAAATTCGCGAAATTAAAGTCACGAGAAAATAAGTGATAATGAGGTAACAAAACTGAGGCACTGTTTGTGGAATTTAATTAATGCCAAAATTTTTTTTAGTTTTTGAAAAAGATTTTAGCAAGTAGCGAGACACAGCCTCTTTAAATGAAGATATGATCACGCAGTTGTAATAGCAATTCTTAAGATCCTGAGGGTTTCTTTAGGATGAACTTTTTACAGTTATATAGTTTAGAAATAAGGACTAAGTCTATTTTTTTTGCTCTGCTTTGTTTTGTTTTTTGCGCCGTTCTTGTTGCCGTCGCCGTTATAAACAATTTTATTTTTGCTTGAGATATTAACGAGAGCTGCGCTTTTAGCCTTGGCTAAATCTATATAGTAATCATTACCTTATAAGCATCTGCTCAACCTTACTGCGTCCTTCCTCTGTAACTTTCTTGCCAATGATAACTCCAACCACGAGTACAAAGGAAACATACCACAAGGCCGGAACTATAAACAAGTTGATGACAATCCTCGTCCCATAGAGCACCATTTTCTGTTTTCTAGACCTCTTTTGCACTCGAAGTAATCTTGCCCCTTCTTCTAACTCGAAGCGAATATCCTGCACGATCATCTGCTTCTTGTGCATCGCGGCGCTCTTCTCAGAGATGCAGTAGTCCCAAGCGGAAAACAAACGGTTGCAAGAGGAATTGAAAACGCCCTCGCTGTTAATGTAACTCTCCTTTAGCCCAATGGATGCGCTGTGTATCATTATCACAAGGCAAAAGAGAAAGTAAGCTCCACCCGTTAGAAGGTAGGCTAATGGTAAATGGTATCTGACTCCCTCTTGAGATACAATAGCTTCAGAGGGATAGCTGCTGTAAAACATGATAGTGTTACTAATCCATCCCTGACCAGTGATAAAGTCTAACACCATTGTTGAAAAGCTGTTGCCTGTCGAGTTGTCTGAGCCAGTTTTGGCCGCGTAATTAACCTCATATTTACAGCTCGTTACATTAATTGCACTGTCACCGCCCGCGTCTGTACAAATCAACAGTGTTGGTAGGGAAACAAATCCAAATTCGATCAGAAACACAAATAAATTCAGAAACATGAGCCAGCGAAGGAAAACGAAATACGAAACCACCCCGCTTCCAAATTGCCCTTCAATGTCTTTAAGATGACCTCGCCACAATTCGAGAGAATAAATGCATTCTTTGATACCGGTCTGGAAGTGCTTCCATCCCATTGCCACGTTCAATATAAAAACTTTCCACCCTGAAACTCTCCTAGGAGCCCTTGCCCTAAGTGACTGCTTATATCGTCGTCTAAGAGACATGGGTAGCGGAACAGCCTTAAAGTCGACATTCTCCAACACTTCTTCATCAGTCGATGAAATCGGTCCTGCCGTTGGCTCCTGATCACCATCGCTGCTCCAAGCCGTTGACGGGGTACCATCGCGTTTACCTTGTCTCTTCAGCGCCCCCGAACGTTTTTTTACAGAAGTCCCACGGCTTTTTCGTCTTGTTGTCACTTGGTTTCTCATAACGGTCGATGTTGTATGTCTTGCTACATGACTAGGAAGGTCCCGTATATACAGTCTGGCCTCGTCAGTTTGTTCAGTTCTTGAATCTCCTTCCATCAGGGAACGCATTTCAATTGATACAGCTGCCATTCTGAAATGTCTCGCGAAAGTATGACCGTGTGTAAATGTTTAAGTTGTGACTTCAGAATGCCCCCTCTCCTCAGTGAAAACAGATATCATGATTTTACTGTCTGACAGTATTCAGACTGTTGCGTGACCTTTGCGTTGAGATTTCCAAAAGCAAACTTGGGAGCCAAAATTATTTTTGGCATGGGACTTTTTGTTTGGCGCTTTGATTGTATAGAATTAACCCTAAAAATCGCGTTCGGGCGTCACCTGGACCGTACTATGGTAACCGTACCTGATACCGCGGCAATTATAAGACTTTATATAAGAATTGTTTTTGCTCTATAAACTGAAAGATCGGATTATTATTATGATTATTACTAATAATCGTAGATTATAGTGCGTCTCCGCTTCCCGTAAAGCATCTTAATCCTTTTTATCCTACACTGAGTTATGGAGAGTTGATTTTCACAGGAAACTACTTTTGTAAGAAATCCTGTGGTTTTTCCATAAATGAAACCTCTTCGGCAGAATCTTTGAAACCAGTGAAACCTCTATTAAGCGGACCCCAATTAAGCGGACATCCTCTATTAAGCGGGCACTAAGCCAGCTCCCGAAATTAACGTCTTATATTTCCCTTTATAATGAACCCCTATTCAGCGGACACCTCCATTAAGCGGACGCAGACACTAAAATAAATTGTATTTGGCTAATTTCTGTTGTTTTTTAAAAAAAACCACCGTACTGAATTGACAATAGTAGTATTGGATTACGTCCTCGAAATATTAATACAATGTCAATAAACTGTATATTAGACCGAAATCCGGCCGTATGATTGTCATCCGCGATCAAAGTTCACCTAAAAGTCTTGCAGAAAGTACAGCACAGCTTCCTTAGCTTCCTTACTATGGAACTTTATCACAGTACCCAGGCACAGTACTAACCGTTGAATGTTAATCGTTAACAAACATTGCGCAATTTTTACAACCTCCATTAAGTGGACACCCTCAGTCATTAAAGCGGACACTTGGGAAGGTCCCGATGGTGTTTCACTGTGTTTATTTGTAACGCAAACATACTAATTGGTGCATGGCACGCTCGGTATGCTGGATGTTATTGTGACGTTTCAGGATGGCGCAGATTAGCCTGCGTAGCATGGCGGTTTTGGTTGGGCGCGCTAAGTAATATAGGCGGGCGGTCAGGCGGGCAAAAACCGCCCTGCTACGCAGCCTAGGCGCAGATCCGCCCACAAGCACATAGAACAGCCAATGACTCATTTAGGAACAACTCCTTCGTCGACGCAATTGTTATTATTTACCAATATTTATACAGGAGTTACCCTTTTAGTAGAGCTAATATCAACGGGGTGGGGTTCTTATAAATGAAAATTATTGCGGGCGACAAGAGGAGCTCACAATCCCATCAGGTTCTGTTCCGCAAGCACCTCATGGATGTAGCCAGCTGCGTCAAGATATCCATGAAAGGGGTACATTTTCTCTCAAAAATGGTATATACATTAATGGGTAAAGGGTAGAATTATTAAGATCAAGATTTGCACCGCTTTGCTGCATGCTGCTTCAATCCGGGGAACTCTTGTAGGTCTTTGGTATGTATTGAATTTCATTTCATGTAAGACCTTATATGGTGTCCTAAGCCTACCCCGGGTACCAGAGGTTTTACTCGCGTGCGGCGAAAATTTTCGGTGTTGGCCGAAGGCCGAAGCCACGAGCGGTCACTATAAAGACTTGACAGAAACCCGAAACCGCGATAGAAAATTCTCTGGCACCCAGGGTATCCTAAGCCACACCTGCGCTATAATTTAATTTTGGCACTTTGTGATTTGATCGATTTGTGTTTACGGAGCAAGGCTTATATCTTACCGGGAGTAAATGCAAAAGAGGGAGACTCCAGATTCTAGATCTCCAGAAGTTGGTATTTCTTTCCCAAGGTTAGCCTGCGAACAACAGACGTATTTCTGGTCGTCGCTTCTCTCCCTCTAGCCTCCCACGCAGGCGTCTTTAGGGGAGCTCGTTTTTCATCCCTCCCTAAAAACGCCTGCGTGGGAGGCTACTCTCCCTCCGAAGGAAGGAGGGAGAGAAGCGACGACCGGAAATACGTCTGCTGTTCGCATGCTATCCCAAGGTCTACATTCGTTCTGATGTATTCCTCCACTAATCGTGTTGCAGCGGCGTGTGTACAAAGACCTTTACGGAATCCGTACTGGTTCCCTCTGAGGAGTTTTTTAAAATAAAAGGGGATTAAATTTCCCCTTTTTCAGGGTTTGAAGGCCTCCGCGCCACTTCCCTTGAGGGACCCCTTACAGGTCCTTCAGGTTGGGGACTGGCTCCTGGCTTCTGCTGTTTTGCGCGCAATTTTACGCAGTTATTCCGCTGACCAAAAGGATCGCAGTTTGGGAACGAATGGCTTTATGGCTGGTTAACTTGTGTGTTTTTTCTCTTCCCTGATTACGTACGTAAAAAAAGGAAACAGACGGTCCACAATGGCTGATGTTAAAGCGCTGGAGTACTCTACCATGAAGGTAGGATTATACCTAGTCTATCTGAGAATAGGTGTTGTGGAGTTCAAACGGGAGCTCGGTCATACCTCTCATATGGCTCATATCGCAAAATGTCGGTTGTTTCAGCAGTGCAGGACATAACTGATCAACAACAACAACAACCTTTATTCGCCTTTATCATATTTAACATTAATATTTCTTCAATACCATATTAACTAGGCAGGGAGATCTTAAGCAAGCTCTTTTGAGCTTTTACAAGTAGGATCTCCCTCTCTATGTATCTAACAATAATTTTTTTTTCAAGTTAGGCGTATAGAATGCAATGTAATTTAAATCATCATAATTTAATATGGTATCTACTGTTATACACATACAATATGTATTCCTGTTTTAAGGTCCACTTAAAAATAATTCATGGTGGAAATATGTTTTAACGACTTTTTACATTTTCTGTTTGAATTTGATTCCTTTAAATTAGCTGGTAAATTTTTCCACACATTTTCCATAGTTTGTTTTGCTGCAATTGACCAGTCTGTAGAGTATGGCAGGTGCACACGCGAGTTTTTTTAATAATATATAAAAAATAAGGGCCTAAAAACGGCCTTGCACGCGCGAGATCTCATTGAGTTCTGCCATACTCTGCAGACGGGGCAATTGATATGCATATTTGATGAAGATCGAGTATTGTAAGAATAAATGTTATCGTTTGTTGTAAAATAATTTTTATAAAATGGTGGTAGTGTGTCATGGAAGTACAGATACATAATATTGCTGTGAAATACAAACTAATTTCATTTATATTTCCAGTGTCTCTAGGGAAATATAGAGTGGTCTACTCTCCTTTTTATAAGCAGAGAAGGTCATAGTTCTAACTGAACTAATAAGTTCAAATACTTTTTGCAGTTTTTGTTCTTCTCAATTTTCCATAGACAAGCCTTGACTGTATCTCTTATGCTTGATTTTATTATAAATCTGATGATTTTTTGTTAGTATTGTTGGTATTTCCTACTACAATGCATTTGAACAAGATCTACGTAGTACAGCCATGAATCTTTTTTCACTGTAAGCCTATTAATGATGCGACTATTAATAGGGAATGACTTTAAAGGGTAGTTATTTAATCTAAACCTTAAGAGTGAATAACAGATACTTATAAAAGGCAGCAAAAGAAGAAAAATGTAAAGAATTCAAAAGCACACCATCCTCGCAGACCCAGGGGCAGATAGTGGGGACAAGGGAAAGTCTAAACGGGCGGAAAAATATGGCACGAAGAAAAGTAAAGAACGGCAAGAAGAGCTCCTGGGGACAATGTCTTACCAGACCAGTTCCAAACAGTCGCCGCCATTCTGGCTTCTGATTGGTGCCAGAAAAACACAAGTTTTCTGGCACCAATCAGAAGCCAGAACGGTGGCGACCGTTTGGAACTGGTCTGGTAAGACATTGTCCCCAGGGGCTCTTCTCGCTGTTCTTTACTTTTCTTCGTGCCATATATATTTTTCCGCCCGTTTAGACTTTCCCTCGACCCTTTATCTGCCCCTGGGTCTCCGAGGATGAAAGCACACCAAAGCTGAGCTGATTATTGTCATGATTATTGTCAAAGTTCATAGTTTGTTAGTAAAGTAGACAGGAGCATATATAGGAATAAAAAAAACTATAGGAAAACCATTGTGATGCAAGCAAAAGCACAGCTCTTCATTACTTTTTCTTGTTCTTCTTCTTGTGCTTGTGCAAGAGTTAAACACAAGCAACAAAAACATGGCCTTAGTCACAATACCCCTCTTCTTCCACCACCTTTCAACGGATTTTTTATCCCTCTGCACCTGTCATTCTGGCTGAATTATTGTCCTTATTGATAGTGGAAGTCTGCTTGTGACTGAACTTGTGTGGCCAGCCAGTTCTGATGAATGGAAAGCACCCTGAAAATTAATTAGAGCGGTTTTCACTTGACTGTCGTAAAACCAAAACCAAAGTAAATACACTAGCCAACCAAAGGGCGTAGTAAAACCAAAACCAAAACCAAAACCAATCCCTTTCGACAGTCAAGTGAAAACCGCTCTAAGACAGCATTACCATGATTATCTTACAAAATTCCAGAAGGACTAACATCATCAATGCTGGCTGAAGTATCTAGAGCTCTCGCTTACTAAACGAAGCTGACCAGTGTTTGAATTATTGAACAAGACTTTGTCTTTGATATTTGCAAGTACTTGAAGTTTTTTCTGAAATTGTCTGAATTGTACAGAACACATCCCAATAGGTTTGATCACACTGGAAATTTGGAAAGAACGACTAAATAATATTGTGCAGGGCATACAATTTAATGGTAATGTTTGAATTTAGGTTCCTTATGAGATACTCAATAAAAAGTTTCGCGCAGCCCAGAAAGTGATCGACAGGGAGGTGTCTCTTGTCGTGGGAGCGACAAATGATTTAACAAACAGTCTCGGCAGTGTTCCAGTTAAGGTTGGAGAGATCACTGGCTTCTTGGATGGAGTAGTACAAAAGTTACAATCACTGAAAAGAAAGGTAACTCATACCAGTAGATTCCAATCAATTTAGGTTTCTTACCTACCCCTCCCCTAAGCAAGGTGTAAAGAAAGTCAATTTTACAGCTTAATTGCTATTTGGGAAAGGTGCAGCTAGCATGTACTAACCCAAGTGTCATTTTTATTTGATTCGTAAATTCTTCTTCCTTGAGTAAATTAATGTTAACAACTTACTCCAGGTGGGAACAATTCACCAGTCTAGACTGGTCTGATTGTTTGAGTTGTAAAGTTGATCATGCACTTTAAGGATCACGTGGAACCCACTCTCTAAATTTATCTCTACAGCCAAATGGTGCTGCACACAGCTTTTACAGGTATATTTTACTCTAAAATGTTCGTTAGCAAGGGAATCTTGCATGTTTTTTATGACAAGTCGCTTTTTAGTCTTGCTTGCGTAAGCAGCAAGACTCATAATCTGCAACATGTTTTTTGTTGTATTTAGGACACAAAAGGGGGTCATTATGCCAGTCGTTCCTTGCAGAGACTGTGAAAACTGGGACTAAGAATCGTTGTGTGATGGAAGCCATCCATGTTTTGCGAGAAAGCTTAGGAATGGTTAAATTAAGAGCTTTTCCAAAGCGTGTCCGTCCACCATAAATTCTACTGCTTGAAAGCGTTGATTACTTTGGAACAAGTAAACACTACTAAGTGGTTGAAACAAAATAAGAATCTTAATTAGCAAAACGGCAATGGTCGGGTGTCGTAAACTTTCATTGTATGTTGAGCATGCAGTTTATTTTCGGCAATGATTGAAATGTTGTGCCATGAACGTGCCATATAAATCACTTTTTTGATCTCTGGCAATGATGTAATTTCTCTTGAATTAAGGCCCTTGAATTTTTGTGTATTTATACTTGTGTAGAGCCTACAATGGCAGACATATTTCTGGTCGTCGCTAACACGCATACTAAATCGATTCAGAAACAAATAAAAAGTATTGACATCGATAAAGTAGGAAGTAAAAAACCTTTAGCGGGTAAATCCTGTTTCGTGTACAATTAATCGCCTCCTCATTTCTCGATCTAATCTCCAAGTAAGCGAGGCTAAATGCCGGCAATCTAAATATCATTGATTTGTTAGTCAGAAGAATGTTTTGCTCAAGAAGAAGCTTGCTTGCGGCATTGCCGGGCTCGTCTGGATCATATCAAAGAGCATGCTGATGAGCGGAAGAGTGCTCTGATACTATGGAAAAAGAAGCGTCTTGATAGAATGCTGGTGGATCACTGTCTACGATCTGGCTACTATGACACTGCAATTAAACTTGCCAAGGATTCACAGATAGAGGTGTGTCATCATTAAACTATTCCAGATACATCTATTTTTATATTGAACTTCTGTTACTGTTTCAGTACTTTTAAATTTAGGATGTAAACATTAACCATATATATATATATATGTTATTCACCGGCTGGGAGGTCCGTATTGGGAGAAACTGTGCCGAGGTCTTGAGTACTCTGACCGAGGGCACAGTTTCTCCCAATATGGACCGACCTAGGCTGGTGAATAACACATATATATGTACACTAAAATATAGAAATAAAAATTAACTTGATTTTCATGTTGTACATTTATGTTTCTTATCTGTACATTTAAAAATTAAGCAACTGTTTCAATTTAATCAGAGGCAGTCAAAAGCTGCATACAGGTATCAAAAGGACACATCATTATTTCTAGCCTGCGAACGGCAGACGTTTCTCCTTGCTCATCGCTGCTGTGGGACGTTTCGTGAGGAGGAACATCTTTGACTCAGGAACAGAAATTCCATACTGATGACGTAAATCAATGTTTACATAATAAATCCGGTAATCATGGGTTTTCAAATGCAAATTTGTTCAATTTTACATTTCTCCTGGTCGATTTTGGTAAAGTGTTGTGTTCATCTGCAAATGAGCTCCAGTGAAACTCAAATGCTTCTTCTAGAGAAGACTATATTCCACAAATATTGGCTGTTTTGTGAGAGATTCATTGCATTTACATTTGACTTTTGTGGCTTTTTACTGGGCTGCCTGTGCGGCCCAGTCATAAATTCGGCTTTCGGTCGTCGGCGTTGAAAAGTGGTCTCCCGGGGAAGGGAAGACATGAGAGTCTGGTACTGAGAAACAATGTTCTCGTAAAATGGTTTCATATGATTTTCTCTTGTACGGACCGTTGCACGGATACTTTTTGTACCTTATCTCCGCTCCTCCTGAAAAACCCACAAGGCGTTGTGAACCTGAAGAAGGCTATTTGCGTTGTTCATAGGAGTCACTCTATAATTTTTTTATTCTTCGAGTTTAAGTCAGTTAGATGATGTTGGCGCTGGGAAACTCAGAAAAATGCTCACGTTGCATACAAACCGAAATGCCGTTCACGATATATTAGGTTCACACCAAAAGATGACTGTGAGCGTCAGGTTTGGAACGCCAGGGCTGCTTCGTGAACTCAAAGAGAGAATTATCAATCGATGTAGTACATGAGCAATTAAGAAGCACAATTTATGAGCAAAGTATTTCACCACTTGACGACACTATGGCTGAAGACTTGATTGTAAGCTGTCGTTGTCACTGAAGCGAACAACTCAGTTGCCGATGAATGTCAGATGAATCCTGATGTTACGCACATCCATGAGCGAGGGACGTGACAACTTTGCCATGTTAGAAGACTGGCTTTTTCTTTATATAATTCCTTCTATTTAATTTGGAGGTCTAAATTTCGGATACTGAGGATAAAGAAGACACGGACAAAAATAAGAACCCTGAGAATTTCGCACACAAGTTCATTAGGCTTTACTTGAGGAATATAGGAGCTATTACTGACAAGGTTTGGTGACTGAGTAGAGCATACAAATGTAGTCCACGTTGAGGTTTCAGGGGGTTTGCTTTTGTTTGTATCTGTATCTTGCTAAGCTTTTATCATTAAATTTGTACATGATCTTCTGATCACAATTCTGTGTTTTCGCCCATTCAGCAAGCACGCTATATTGATGTCAGCATTAGTGAGTTCCAGAAACATGCCTTTGAAAATTTTCAGCTCTCGTGATGTTTCTTGATATTTCTTCTACCATTTTATGGAGATGTAAACTGAAGTCACCACAAAATGGACACTTAAAAAAGCGTATAATCCATTTATCTCGAAACATAATACACATGACTTATATGACGTTTATTTTCCTAAAGGTGTTTTGAATACAAACGAACACAGTCAATGTGAGGGGCAAAAACAGCATTAATATACTCTGTAAATGAACCATAGGGTTTTAACTAGTATAAGGGTCAATTATTGTGCATGGAGATGAATTGCTTGAAAAGAGAGACTTCGCTTGAAGATGTGATCAGAAGTAAACAAAGTCACCATAGTGTGTCACGTCCAGTCTTTTTAACATCCAAGGACTGTGATATTGTTTAGCTGGCACCAAAACTTCGGAGGAGTTATAAAGCGGCATAGTTATCATCCATGAAGAAAGTTAGTCATGGGTGAGACAAACAATGAACTCGAGAACTTGAATTTTTAACTCATATCGGTATCAGGTAAAAAATATGTTGTCAATGGTTTCATCTATTTACATTGTTTGAAGTGAAGAGAAAAATACCAAGAGGAAAATCTTAAAACTGAATATTTTTTATCTTGTGGAAAAAATAGTGCGTTTTCATAGACTGTAGACAGCAAATTACGATCGTCTATTTACTGCACGTTTCACAAACATGTGAATTCTGAAGTTCAGAAGCCAACCAACGATTGCGTTTTTCACTGCTGTCAATCATCTTATCTTAACGGACATCTTAGGAAACAAAACTTTACTTCACGGGTTCAAAAGGTCATGGTTTGTGATTTGTGGATTTCGATCCGTTTTGTGTTTCTCTGTTTCAAGGTTCGTCACTTGTGATCGTAATTATGATTGACGGCAGCGAAAAACACAATTGTGAAGGTGACTTTTGAAGTTTAGAGTTCGCATGTTTGTGAAAAGCGCGGTAAAGTCTCCGTGCAGTCAGAGGCCCCCGGATCAGGCGGGATCAATTATGGGCAGTTGGCTGTCTGTTTTAGTATACTTCTGGTTTTCATACAATACAATATTTCTGTCTAGTGTAAATCAGCTCTGTCCGTCGCACTTTATGCTCGTAGAACGACAACAATTTTTGGAATTTCCAGTTATGTCAAATTAGTCACGTTATACTGTCATGCTATATTTTGGGGCACACAAGGATTGGGGGAGGAGTGCGTGAAAATAATGCAAATCGTTTCCTGCTTAGAATTAATGGCTAAGTTGTTTATTTTTATTCATAATGGTGGAATTTAAAAGTTATTATACAGACCCCAGTTAAAAATGGTACTCTTTTATTTGGTTATGAAAGTCTTTCAAAAGGGTACAATGTTCTGAATGAGTTTATGTTTCAGTCTCATATGAGATTCTGTCACATGCAATGGTCGGTGACAAGGTTTTGTAGTAGCCTGAGTGTGTATAACCACCCCCTCCCCTCAGAAAAAATAGCCCCTTTGCAGCCCAGTTAAAAATCGCCTTTCGGCTATTCTTGTTGTCCTTTGTCTGTCATTCGTAAACAATCGCTAAAACAAAAAAAAACTACTCTGTCGACCAATTAGCACTTCTGACCTGATTCCGGACAGATTTTGCATCATCAGTATGGAATTTCTGTCGTTGAGTCGCAGACGTTCCTCCTCAGGAAACGTCCCTCGGCGGCGATGAGCGAGGAGAAACATCTGCCGTTCACAGGATACATTTTTTCATATAGCACAATTATTAATAACTACTGAAGAAACTCTGCCAGTAACTCACTTGTAGATAAACCAGAAAAATACAGGTATGCCAGCTCGCTACACTCAGTAGCTGATTACATGATTTAATTTTCCCCTTTTTCTCAGGATTATGTGGACATTGAACTATTTTTGGTGTCAAGAAAAGTTGAAGAATCTCTTTTAAGAAGAGAATCAGGACCTTGTTTAGCTTGGTGTTATGAAAATAGGTCCAAGCTAAGGAAGTTAAAGGTGTGTTTGTCAATGTTGTAGTTCAATTTCATTGTTATTGCAAATTTCATTGCTCTGTATTGGTCGATGATAATTTATAGTTATGAATTTGAAACAAGGAAGATATTAAATTTGCATAAATTACATACAGTTGTTCATAAGGAATAGATACATGTTATAAATTTATTTATAGTGTACTTTCTGTATCAAAGCCAAAGTAACTAAATAGAATAAATTATAGAGCGGTTTTCACTTGACTGTCGAAAGTAATTGAGGAATTGGTTTGGTTTTGGTTTTACTATGCCCTTTGGTTGGCTAGTGTATTTACTTTGGTTTTGGTTTTACGACAGTCAAGTGAAAACCGCTCTATTGATGTGCAAATTTTAAGGCCCCCTGGAACCCATTCTTGCTATTTACCTTCTGACTCTCGCTAAGGAAGACCTCTTAGTAGAGGTTTGACTGTACATGGTTCTATTACCTTGTATCAAGATAACATTCTATTAGCAGTTACATCAGCCTTAACTCCAGGTGGTTTTGGTTAGTTTGCTGATATACATGTACATTTACAGTCTTTGTTGAAGAGAGCCCTCCTCCCCTAGACCTCATTGTTTGAAATGGCTTAACGGAATATATTATTGTTTGCAACAAATACAGTTTTCAATGAAAGGGGTTAACTAAGGCAACCAAAACAGTTTTTTCTCCTACAGAAAAATTATTTCAGCAAGTTGAAAACAAGCCAAACTATCCCTACAGTACCATAACAATTCTAAGGAGAGATTTTTTTAAAGTTATTGTGCATTGTATTTTTAAAATATATTTGTCAGAGTAACCTTGAATTCAATGTGAGAATGCAAGAATTTGTTGAACTTGTGAGAAGAAGTGAAAAGATGGAAGCAGTTAGGTATGAAGCATCATAAATACTATTATAATGTTAATACCTTGGTCTGAGGCAAGAAGAATAACGGTACGGTATTTCTGGAAATCCTAGTTAGAAAGGACGTTGTAGATGGAAACTTTCCAGGGCAAACAGAAGGTTTGACAAGATACAAATTAATGTACATGTAGTCCTGTTTTCATGGTTGGATCTCCTTCAAACAGAAATTTGTTGTCTATTAATCTTCAAACCTTAGTTTTGATGCAAGTTTCCTCAGTTTTTTTAAGCCATCTGGGGATGGGAGTGATTTGTGCAAATGTCTGCATTATCTTCATGTGTAATCCATTATTTTAAGAAATTTTGGACAGAATCCTATTGGTCTGTTTGCGCTCTTTTGACTAATTTGTTACATTTATTATAGAACATTCTTGTACTTGTTTGAATGTCCAATTATGGATTATAATTGTAAGTTAAAAAAGACGTGATGCAGATTAAGGAAAGTTAAAAATTTGTCAGATGTTTGTCAGAAACTATGTTCTTCTGAGCTCTACAAGTTCAATGACCTTGACTATCACGTTCAACACAGTCAGACTCTACTACTTATTGGAGTATTGTTTTTTTGGTATAATAGAAAAAATGTACAGAATTTATTCTCAGCCAAAAAGTGGTATTGTACCTAGATAATGAGGTACATACATTGTATTGCGTACAGGCAATCTTTCCTTTGTAGATAAATGCCTCATGTTGCATAGTACACTGTATATCTGTAGATGTTAACACATTATTTTTTGTTGGATGTGACAGGTATGCCAGGAAGCATTTCCCACCAGCAAATGTTGATGGCACAATGACCAAGGAAATCCAAAGAGCAATGGCTTTGCTGGCCTTTAAGCCTGAGACTAGCTGTTCACCATATAGGGTAAATAAAATAAATAAGACACTCTCTCCTACTTGTAGGTAGATTTCTGTTTGACTGGGGCCAATGAAGAATATAGCTTTTTAATGTAAATTGTAGCTGCTAATAATTATTAAATTTTGAGAGGGAAAAATGCCTGGGGCTTTTCCAACTACACAGTACATTCAGGAATCTGATGACTAAGAGACAAAGATGCTTCATCTCCCGCAAACAAATTATTTTATAATCTTTTAGAACAATCTGATAGAAATCTATAGAATCAAATTAGCAAGGATGAACACCATCTTTTCGTAAAAGACTCTTCCCACAGGCTGTGAAGAAAAACAACTTAAAAAATTATAACTTTTTAGCAATACCAATCTACTGACATGTATTCAGAACTCCTAATTTCCTTTTTGTTCCTTTTTTTTTCTTTCTTGGTTGTGCATCATTCAACAGTTTTTAATCTGATAATTTATTATGTTTGTAACTTTTGATATGTACCGGTATTTTATCGAATGAATAAAGATGATGATGATGATGATGATGATGATTATTAAAGTGGATGCTTGTAGTTTTTTCATTGAAAATCAAATATTGTTCAATTTATTGTACATTATTTGAGTAAGCAGTGGTACTTGTTGCTCTCGGTCTGTTCAGTACTGACTGTTTTTTTGGGGGATGTATTATTATTCCAGGAGTTGTTTAATTTGGAGAGATGGACTCAGCTAGTAATGCAATTCAGAAGGGAGAATTATCAACTTCATCAGCTTAATGATCAGTCTACATTAGCAGTAACGCTCCAGGCAGGACTGTCAGCTCTGAAAACACCGTATCCTTGTTTTATGTATAATACCCTAAAATGCAGCAGCTAAAACAGTACAGGTATATCTCACTCCTTATAATGTTGCTGCTTTATTGAACATAAAGGTCACTGAGATAAAAGAAATGAACACTAAAGCTAAAATAGATGTTTTGGTTTTTTAATAAATATGGAGAACAGTATGGAGAATTTACTTGTTGATAAAAGTGTAAAAAGGGTTAATTTTTTATTATCAAAATGCAACTTCTTCTTTCTCATCTTCATTTGTTTCTATATTGTATAGACAATTTAGAGAGTAAGTGTTAAGATGCCGAGTTTTCTTTAGACTACAAGTAGTCCCCATTTTTCCTCAGGGATAGTAGAGCGAGTGAAACGCGAGCGTGCGTGGGGTGATTTTCATGCGCGCTCGCGTTTCGCTCGCTGTACTATCCCAGAGGAAAAATGGAGATTACTCGTAGTCTAAGTTTTCTCATGACCTGCCTGATGATTAATTACCTGAAAGAGCAAAGGAAATTTTATCATAAAAAAAAAACACCCACAAAAAAGAAGAACATGTTGGAAAAAAGAACCAGTGAACTTATACATTGTATCCAAGTTCTAATTTCCAACAAAGACCAGCTCTCATGAACTTAGTTCTGTAATTTTCAGCATCCAAAAGACGAAAAAAGACGCAACGTAGGCTCTAGGGATTGTTTGGAGGGACAGCAAAAAACACGGCGCACGGCAACAAGCTACCTGTTGACCTTCCTGCTGTCGCGGCCACCGTACCAAGTACCAAGAGGAATTTTGCTTAACCCATGCGTGGAAAACTTAACCACCTTTCGAGGAACCAGACGCAGTTGTTTAGTCCTCACCCTCAAAAAAGGTCCTTTTTACGAATGTGTTATTTTGGTGAAATACACTGTTTCCTTAACACTGTTGTTAGTCACTGTTATCAAGAGGGTCACAAGAGTTCAGAGTGCCCAGTATGTAGCCACCCCTTGAACATCTTAGGCCGTCCTTTGCCCTATGCACACTGTGCTCAGTCCAGGTTGGTGTGTCCAATCTCAGGACATGTCATGAATGAGAATAACCCACCTATGGTACTTCCCAATGGATACGTGTATGGAGAAAATGTGAGTAGCCTTAAAATTAGTATTTAACTTGGTCTAGGGGGTCTTTTTTAAGAAAGACCAGGACCTTGAAGATTTTGATGGACTACTGTTTTGTAGACTGCAAAACAGTCCGTATTTTTGCTTATTGAAGTACGCGCGAGCAGTCAAACAAACGGTCTGGAATGAGGCTGAAACAGAGAGCGAGACTGAGACGCTTTTTCTCTTGCCTCACAAGCCCGCTCGCGCCCTTCGCGCGCGTAAGACTATTACGCCACGCTTTACCGATTTCTTTACTGATTTTGAGAAAGAAACCGACTGTTTTGCAGTCTAACTGCTTTAATTCCAGTTGAAATTTTAAGCATTGCGCGCATACGGTAATTACGAAAGAATTATTGCCCTGTCAGAGATCGAAGGGGATGAGCGCAGCGAACGAGTGAGATTCTGAAACAAAACAAGAGAGAGCTAAATATTAACGGAGAAGAGGGTGGGTTATTTGAGAGATTTCGGCGTATGAAACGTCTTCTCCATTTTCACTAATTGATAATAAATCATAGGGAACTTACCATTTACATGGGAAACCGGAAATCCCGCGTGGAAAATCAAATGGTGCACGCCATTCCGTTTGGGAAGCTTCGGAAAACATGGGCTTTGATTTCAGGCAATGCAGTTTTTCTACTCTCTGATTTGGATATACTTTTTAGCGGGCCGTTCTCCCACCACGTCAAATTTTATAGTTTTATTTTCATACACAAGATTTCTACCAGGGTGGTTTGTGTAAATGGTAAGCATCCATAATCTCCAAAAAAAGTCTTTGGAATATCCTCCACGATTTATTGACATCACTCTGGTCAGCATTGCACACTAGCAACTTTTGTACAAGTAAGGTGTATCATGTATTCAACACAAGGGTTTCTAATGTCAAGAGGCGGAAAACTTGATCACCTCTTGAAGAGCTCGTTCGACAGTAATAAACATTTAATGACTGGTCCCGAGGGTCGTCCCGAGGGAAACAGTCATTAAAGAGGTTAAGCTTCACGTTTACGTCAAACGGCAAACGCGAATTTGTAACACGTGACCAAGTTTCTTCGTTACTGTTCATTATTTCTACACATAAATTAGTTGTTTTAGTGTGAAATAAAGAATTGAATTGAATTGCGTATATAAGATATTTACATAAGTGTACGTAGGTAGGAAAATAAAGTAGCTGACAAATAATAATTAACTAAAAGACATTAAGTTCATTTGTGTACATGGTCCAAAGTAGCAAGAGCTTTCTTGTTGGACACAGTCATGTTGAAATAATTGGCAGCAGTAAAGAGAGGAATAAAATCTCAGATAATATCAGTAATAGAACATATAAGCAAGGTCAGATTTGGTTAATGAATTGTTTGAATTGTTTTGAGCAGTTTTATCTGCTCATTTCCTATTTCGAGAAATTCTCAATTTGAATCTGTCGTTTGCCGTTTGCCGTATACGTGAAGCTTGAACTCTCTAACTTCACTTTGTTTCCCGAGAATCTCAACGCCGAGGGAAACATTCAGATTCGAGGAAGCCAAATGAACTGTTTCCCGAGGGACCAGTCTTTAAGTACAGATTTGTTATATAGCAAAAAAATTTTGAGGCTGAAAAATGATTAAACCTCGCCGTAACGGCGGTCGTCGATCAACATTCGCGTGTAACAGTGCGCTGTTACCCTGTGACGTCATAGATTTTGCAATTTTGCCCGCTCAGAGATCTTGGCGGGAAACAGTTTGATTTTTAGATGTTAGGGCGAGAGGAATAATTGTTTTTGTAAAATGCAACTAGTTGGTCAAAAATATTGAGACAAAACAACTTATGCTAGCAAGCTTAAGCTGTTTTGGTTTTCAAAGCCAGCGCTTTTCGCTACTAGTGGGCTATAACATATAGCCTAGTCGCAGCTCAACCAATCAGAACGTAGCATTGATNTAAAGAGGTTAAGCTTCACGTTTACGTCAAACGGCAAACGCGAATTTGTAACACGTGACCAAGTTTCTTCGTTACTGTTCATTATTTCTACACATAAATTAGTTGTTTTAGTGTGAAATAAAGAATTGAATTGAATTGCGTATATAAGATATTTACATAAGTGTACGTAGGTAGGAAAATAAAGTAGCTGACAAATAATAATTAACTAAAAGACATTAAGTTCATTTGTGTACATGGTCCAAAGTAGCAAGAGCTTTCTTGTTGGACACAGTCATGTTGAAATAATTGGCAGCAGTAAAGAGAGGAATAAAATCTCAGATAATATCAGTAATAGAACATATAAGCAAGGTCAGATTTGGTTAATGAATTGTTTGAATTGTTTTGAGCAGTTTTATCTGCTCATTTCCTATTTCGAGAAATTCTCAATTTGAATCTGTCGTTTGCCGTTTGCCGTATACGTGAAGCTTGAACTCTCTAACTTCACTTTGTTTCCCGAGAATCTCAACGCCGAGGGAAACATTCAGATTCGAGGAAGCCAAATGAACTGTTTCCCGAGGGACCAGTCTTTAAGTACAGATTTGTTATATAGCAAAAAAATTTTGAGGCTGAAAAATGATTAAACCTCGCCGTAACGGCGGTCGTCGATCAACATTCGCGTGTAACAGTGCGCTGTTACCCTGTGACGTCATAGATTTTGCAATTTTGCCCGCTCAGAGATCTTGGCGGGAAACAGTTTGATTTTTAGATGTTAGGGCGAGAGGAATAATTGTTTTTGTAAAATGCAACTAGTTGGTCAAAAATATTGAGACAAAACAACTTATGCTAGCAAGCTTAAGCTGTTTTGGTTTTCAAAGCCAGCGCTTTTCGCTACTAGTGGGCTATAACATATAGCCTAGTCGCAGCTCAACCAATCAGAACGTAGCATTGATGATATACCACTAGTTGGATTTTACTAAATAACAATAGTAGATGCTGAGAGTTCTTACAAACATCCTTGAAGGGGTGTGGTTCATCATTGCGGGCCTTGCTATTCTTACTCAGTGTGGCTGGGGATGTTTCTTTTATTTCATTTACAGGCGTTGCATGGGATGGCAAGTGAGAATGATGGCCATGTCATATGCCCGAAAACCAAAGAGTCCTTCCGAGTTGATCAAGCTGAGAAAGTATATGTTATGTAGGAATAAAGATCAGTAAGCTCTGTGAGTTGAGAAATATAATGCTACTTGAATGGCTAGCACTTGACCTTTGTTCACATAGTATATATGGTTTTTTGTAACGGATATTACAGCGTCGCTATAATATAAGACGACCTGGACCCTTTCACTTGAGTACAGAATTCACAGGTAGCCTGAAGTTTGGCAGTTTCGTTAACAACAAGCCCAGAAACAAAATCGCAACATTGAATTTAGAAAAAAAATTGAATTTTTTACATCTGGAGTCGCAGAGGGTTTTTTCATTACTAAATCATGTAAAAATGGAACGGCGAAGCCACAAGCCTCGTAAACCGTGAACTCGGTTTGTTATTTGCAGCCTGGGAAAGTAATTATTGAATTAAAAACAACAACAACAACAATACCCCTTTTTACAAAGAAATGTATTGCGGCTGTTACAGCTTGCCGACCCAACGTTTCACTTTATAAAACTGTAGAATTTTTTCTATTAATTGTTAAGAGGCAGTCTCCCCAAAAGCGGTCCACTCGACTTCGCGACCAAAAATAGTTTTCCTTTATTTTTTGATGGTGAAGAGGCTTTGGTAGGTATATACTAAAATCGCTATTTTTGTTTTCAAATTCTTTTTCTTACCGCTGCTACGAGCCAAAAACAAATTGAGTCCGTCTCGGCCTCTCAGAGGATAATCGAAAGACCAAAATTGGTGCATTTTGAGAGGCGCGCTGCAAACAAACGAATGCCTTCACAAAAAATCTGTTTCATACAGTTTTATTAGTTGACCTCAGATAGTTCACAGGCTAAATGTAAACATCTTTGACAAAATAAGTTACGCGGCACAGTAGTTCAAAGACTACCTATTCTACTGGCTTAATTCAAACCCTGAAAGTAAGGAAGGTTTGAGGGAAAAAATCTCAAAAGTTGCGGCCTAAATCAAGGATAAAAAACACATAAAAGTAAAGTTTTGAACCTATTTTATTGGTTTATAGGCTCAGACTTGTGGGTATCTTTTGGGATTGCAGACGACAAGACATTGTAATCTGACATGGTGCGTATTTGCATAATTAACGGCGGTGTTGGATGTCACGATTGTAGAGGTTTAAAGTTCCACGAAATTGCCGTTTTTGACACTTAAATTCGTCTGCAGCATCTAAAAGTCAGATAATGAACTTCTTTAAACACTTTTAAACCGAAAGAGATTATTAACAGGCATCGTCATGCTTATCAATATAACGATCACCACGATCAACTGGCGGGCATACATACATATTGAACCATAGTTGATCCACTCTACTGTGTCTAAATCAGAAGTTGATTCAAGCTTTATCGATGATGAGAATAGGGATGACAAACCGGGAAGACAAATCTATACAAGAAAAGCAATGAAATTTTTTTAGTTCTTTCCCCCATTTCAGTAGTGTGAAACTCGCCGCGGTACAAACAACTGTAAAAATCAGACTGCCAACTATCATTTGAAACAAAGCCGGTATACACTGCTTCATCTTTTTTCGGCAAATAAGAAGCTTACCTTTACTTTAGGTTCTTAATGAAAGAAATTTATTCAGCAAGCCAGCAGTTGAATTGAATTTACTGACGCCTAACCAGCAAGCCTTACGTTATACGTTATATTATCACAATCAAATCATAGCGTGATTGTCACGTAATGTTATGGTCACGTCGCTTCGTAACTTGTGGGGCGCGATCCATTGAACAAAATTCCAAACGGTTCAACCGGGAAAAGTGGTCCACCTCAAAAGGTGGACCGGTTTTTTCGAAACTTTTCCGGTTGGACCGAACCGATCCATTGAGTTTTGGACCGAAATTTCCGGAAATTTTGGTTGAATGTATCGCGTCCGTGGTGTTACTGAAAACCCCCGTCGGGGGATGGGTACTTCCTTATAAGGCTATTGGGGATGTGTCGCTGGATGGGGTCGCATTTTCACGACTGGATTGACTATAATGATCGTCGCATTTTCAATGGAGTTACTAGAATAGGGTTGCACATTGTCGGATTTTATGGGGCAAGACGGTTCTTCATATTTATGGATAGCAAACGTTCCAGAACGAAAGACTAAAAACCCATCAAACGAAAGACTAAAAACCCATCAAACCTTTTACCCCACCCAGCCAGGTTACTAATCATAATTGTTAAACATGTGAATTCAACTCTAGTCTATATAGACAACAATCTTGAAAAATAGAATGAAATGTCGCTCTAACAATAATGTTCTGTATGGCTAACACTCAAAATTGCATTAGGCAAATATGTTCACTTTTGGTCAGGAATGCAACTGCAACTTACAGTTTAATTAAATGCTACAAACACGGCACGACTATTCTAGGGTAGCATAATATTTTTTAGGACACAATCGACCACATTACAAAGACTTTCTACAATTCCAGTGTTCAGTCATGTCGCCGATTTCCTACTTGTGGCATTCACATTCCTTGACAGCTTCCTTTAATTTGTTAATTAAAGTGGTCTTGACGTCCTTAGCCTTAAAAGGAAGGTCTAGGTTCACACAGATGGCCTTAAGTTTAGGTACGGTTAAGTTAGAGAGTGAATCCAATTTTGCGAGCTCGCAGATGTCATAGCCATCATGTGTTATAGGATGAACAAGTCCAATTTTGCTGACAACCTCCTCTACTTCCATATGTCTTTCCTTTTCGGCAAGGTATGCCACTTCATCTTCATCAAAGCTGTCATCATGATCGTCGTCACCCTCCAATTCTTGTTTGTTCGTCCGCCTTTTGCTGGCTGCAAGCCGTGAAAAAAAACCCTTGTATTTGGCTTTTCGACAACCATTCACTCCTTTGAAACTTACGCTCACCATCAGTGTTTCTTGCTACCCGCATGTCCGCAGCCACCTGGGTAGGATCGGCTTTTCTACCTGTGTCCTCACCAAAGTCAAATTTTGCTGTGAGGTAGCTTTTTACATTTTCAGAAAACCTAGCACCTCCTCCTCTTGGTTTTTGTAGCGCCCAACCCAAACCACAAGGTTCTTCCTGTAATTGCTCGCAGCCTGTTTCTTCTTCAGCGGTGAGCGACAATTTTGATTCAAGTGTTACAGATAGAAACTTTGCTGCCCAATCGCGCTTAAGACGGTCGTACATGCTCTCGGGGCTTACTTTCATGTCGTGCTCACCAAAATGAATGTGGTCTTGAAGTTCCTCTGCTGTAGAGAACTCCCTGGAACAGCAGGACTCGGGACACATGAAAAGAGAGTTATCACGAGCGCCTTCATCGTCGCTGGGAGTCGCCTTAATAGCCCTAGATGCCAAGGGGTAAAATTCATGATTATGAACTTCCTTTATTGATGTAGGACCTTGTGTGCGACGGATAAGCTGTGACCATGGAATAAGTTTACCCACACCGACACCATACGCCTTTACAATGCGAAGCCCTTCTTCTTCATAAAAAAAATTGTGGAAGCTACTGAAATTACTGATGCGGTCGACTTTTATCTCATGGGTTGTTTGGGAGACTTGGCAAACAGCAGCAGTTGTTCCCTTTACTTACCTTGCCTTAAGCGCCTCGTGCATGTCGGATGCTGTCAGGATATCATGTCCTTCGTTGCAGTAACGGCGAATGGCCCCCTTTATTGGGCTGATGATGCGATCACAGACATCTTTGCCAAATTGAGGTTCCGAAAAGTCATACCTAAAATTAAAAATAAAGCCGCAGCTACCTTGGCCGTACTTTTCTAATATAATTGAACCTACATTACAAGCGTTACAAGGCCCGAGTTCTAACTGTTTAATCTTAAACTATATACGTATAATACGAAGGACCACCAGAAATCTAGCTGCGTTCAGCTGGCATTAGGGCTGTAAGTACTTTTTCGACAAAACTGAAAAAATACTCAGGGAAAAGCGAGATATCATATAACTAGCAATTTTTTAAAGATCAGAATTTTCAAGCGGTTTGCTGCAATCATCTATCAATTGTTTTCGCTAAAAATGATAAATGAATCTTTGGGTTGGCAGTCAGTATTTCATTATATCTTGTGTGCAGTTTGAGTAATCGTTCATTAATTATAACCTTGCCGCAAGTGCAACTTGTAGTCGATTCGTTCTAAATTGGTAAAGGAGAAGTTTGAAACAGGCTGCATGCTTTGACTCAGTTTTAGAGTGAACTGTAATTTATTTTTATATTTTATCATAAGACAACCTCTTCGTTTACCTCATAGCTTTTACTCCTACTCGAACACCAAGGTCGTGGACAGCAGCAATTAGATTGTTGTTGTGGTAGCAGCCCGCTCCGTCTGAGCGCAAGAAGGCTTGATTGACTTCTGGCTTGTTTTCCTTGATGATTGCGAGAAGATGCTCCAAAATTGAGTAAACGGTGTACCAGTCCTGTGCACAGCTATCGAATAAATGGACGTATGACTGAACCTGGAGGCTGTCATCTGCCGTATTCCTCGAAATAACGCAACTGACATGCCAGTTGATTCCTCTCTTACCAAACCACTCGGATTGCTTTTCTCGATATTTTATCTGTAAGAATTTCATGGCCCAATCCATTACGACCATGACCGAGTTATCCTGGAGAGATTTTAGTACATCTTGCTTTGCCCGCTCTTGGTTCTCTGCTCTTAAAATGTGAGACTTCCATTGAAAAATCATTTCTTGGGCTTGGGCAAGGTCATGCTTGAAGTCCTCTTTCTGTTCACCGCTATAATAGTTAATGGAAGGCGACTCAATCTGATCAGCGATGGACTTTAATGTTACTTTCAGTTTCTCACACTCGATACAGCGCACTTGATGTTGATGCGGACAATGTTCGCTGAGTTCTGGATCTTGTAAGTCACTAAGAGCAAAGTATCTGCAGTGATCAGCACATAAGCTTTCTTCTTCACGGCAATGCACTCTATATTCTGTCTTGAGGTAGCGCTTTCCACTTTTAAGTTTATTTTGCACTTCATCGCACCAAGTTCCACTTGCGCCGCAGTTTTTCAAGCCATCTACTATCTTGCGCACACTTTCAAACGCTTCAGCGCCTCCTGCAGCTATGTTATCCAGTCCTTGAAGCGATTTTCTTTGAGAAGCTTCTCTGACTTGTAATATTCTAAACAGCGTCGATCTCGAAAGAGGCTCAAACTGATCTTCGCTGCAATGCTTTAAATACTGCTCTATCATCGTTGACCTCGCAACAATTCTGACAACATTTGGCATAAGTAACTCTTCTCCTGAATCTAGCTTCAGCGTCCTGGTTCCATAAGCCACGTCTTGGTAGAAGTACGGCTGGTTGACAAAAGACAGAAAGTGATCCAACTTCACCAAATCAATTTTCACCCGGTGGCGCAGCGGTTTCTCAACGGACAGTCCAACTCCAACAATTTTGGCGTGCGATCTTGCTCTTTTTATCTGTCGGTCGCTAAGCTTTTCAAATGGTTCGTGTATTTTCTTCAAGTATTGGGCTGGGTAACGAGTAGCATAGATGCTGAGTATCTGGATTTTAAGGCTCCTTGATGGTGCTTGCTGATATGTAGTTACTAGTGCTTTGAGGTCGCTAGGGAAACCTACTTCCCTTCTTGATTCTTGAAATGATCGTAACAGCTTATCACTGTCCTTTGGAGCAATGACGTCACAAACAGCACGACATGCTTCGTTCACCTGCTCTATGCAAAGTTCTTTTTCTTTCTTAGTCGCCTCCTCCCACTCGGAGTTAAGTCGGAAAGTCAGGGGCTCCACAGTTTTTCCCGAAAGCGAGGCAATGTTACTGAGTGCCTCATTGTATACTTGAAGAACATCAGATTCGTTTTCAGGGGACTCATCATCGAACGAACTGTCAGGAGTCATTGCTTGCCATCGTCCAAGAGACCAGGCAGGATCATTCTTAGTATGACTTTCTGGTACTGGGGTGTAAATGCAACTCTCGATAGAAACAAGTGCTTCTTCTTTGGTTTTTCTATAGAGGGAAGTCAACAGACAAATAAGTCAAAAGAAAATTGTATTTTTTTTTTCTTACAGAGGATGAATGTACAGTAAGTATCTAAACAAAAATTAACTGAGCTTTGAGCAGCCAATCTTTTATATTCAAGGACATTTTTACTTTCTTAGAGTTTGTCATACTTCCTCCTCGCGTTCTAAGAGTTGTTTTTATTAAAGGAAGAGTACACAAGAAATCGTTAGGAATTAATACCTTGATAAGTTTGGTTCGGTTTCTTCCATGGTATCTGTGGTATCTTCCGTTTCAGTACTTTTCGTTTCTCTCAGCCAAAGCCTTTCAGTCTTAAGTCTGCTAGCATGAAGCTTTCTACAACTGTTACAGATGGCTAAAAAATGCAGAGAAAGAGTGACAAGGGTTGCCACAGACTCTCCCCTAACAGACAATATTGTGGTTGCTTGTTTTATGCTATTTAATTTCTTTTGCTTACATCAAACACACAAAGATGTATGCAACTAGGTCACTAGAAGTAGAGGTTTGTACTCTTAACCCTCTACATTTTTTAAGTGGTGAAAGGCAGTTGCTGTTAATAAAAACAAAACAAAACAACCTCAGGAAAGGACGATTAGAGAAGAAGAAAGACCTGGGAACGAGGTTGCAAAACAACTCAAGATTCCGTTACCTTGAAATCCCCCAACCCCTCACCCCGGTTACCGGGAAAGAACCGTTACTTTGTACTCCAAAACATAAATCGCCTTATCACAACAGCAAACAGAAGGAACATATCAAACTGATAATGTGACTACACGTTGTTTCATCTTCATATTTAGTACCTTTTTCGTCTGCATAAAAGTTAATTAAAAGTTATTCTATATCACAGAAAACTGCTTACGTGATCCAATTGGAATGGTAACTCCGAAAACTTGAAATATATCTCTTGCCATCTGGATGTTGAAAACTCGGTCTCCTTTTACCGCTTCTTGTTTTCCCTTGTGATCAGGGTACTGGCAAGCAGTTGTTGGGCATTTCCAGTATGCTCCCAATTTTCCTCGGTGCCGAGGACGCACGGACATTTCTGCAATGTTTCCTTCGCTTAGATGAAATTGGCCCGCTCGAATCAAAATTAGCTGGTACTCGGAAATATTTTCCCTTGAAAGATGGCAGCGCCTTAGGTGGCAGGAAATATCAGAGGTACATTCCAGCAGCGATGTTAGTGATTTCTGTCCTCTGAATTCTCCACACCCAGAGCTGTCTTTGGTTTTCATAAAGCATGCAGCCATCTTTCACAAACGTAACTTCTTCTTTGTTACGCGTTTGTTGTCAGTGTTTTCGAATGTTTGTAAAGGAAATGATAGAACAGGGAATTGAAAATGGATCCGGAACTGACTTCATAAAAGGGCCTTTGCCTATAAAATTTAATAGAGAGGCAAAAAGGGTCAAAGTCTCCTTGGGAAACTTTCGTTTTTGAAGGAGAAGTGATTTCTGTCAATGTATAATTTACAGAAAGTGATTTTCGGCCAAGAAAAATTGTTTCTTGCAGTAGCTCTTATCTGAAGCCACATCACGTTTTTTTCTCGTGTAACATATTTAATCCAAACGTCCAGATCCAGATTCCAGAAAGTCATTACAATTACAGTTCAGCCCACGTACATGTACTTGTTGCGATATGGAATTTTATTTATTATTTGGCCTTGACTGTACACAATCTTTCAGATAGTAAATTAAGAAACTTGAAAAACAGACCTATTCGTCTCATAAGAAACATCACTTGGCGTGCGTGCGACCTGCCCTGACTTATTGACATTTTGACGGCCTTATTAATTAAAATACCGAAGTGCCAAGCTGCTTGTTGCTGATCTACGTATTAAAAATACGTAAGTACCTCTCGTGAATTTTTCCACATAAAAACGATAAAAGCTCCAAGTCTTCATGAGATTCGGTTTCAAAAAACGTATATTATGTCCTTTCTTCGCGAAATACAGTAATGTTTCTTTGTTGCAGCTCAGTAGTAATTTTTCAATTGAGCGATTATCTCTGGTCAGTAATTTGCTGCTTGCAATAGTTTGACTTTCGCAAGTTCAAGAAAGGAAAAACGCTATTTAAAGTTATTTTTTACTTCTGTTTTTCCCTTTTAGATTAGCCTGACATTATCTGAAAGAACGAAATATAAAGGACAACAAAACAGTAATGAACTTCTCATACACACAAGAATGAGCAGCCGTTGTTTACTTTGTCCATTTATACCCGCTCATGAAATAATTTAACATGGTACAATCTAAAAATACGTTCTGGTTTTAGTTTTTAAATACAGGTTTTCCAATGCCTTTTTCGATTCATTGGTGTCAATTCAGGCGAAATAATGCCCCAAAACAAACACTTTGTAAATTTTAAAAGTCATATGATCGCGACCTCTGACACGGCCGATAACTATGCAAACACGCATTATTTGCTGATTTTCATCTCTTATCGCCTTGTGATCTCAAGGGATACCCACACGTTTTAACCCATAAAACGGTAAAATAGGCTTAAAACTTTACTTTAATGTGTTTTTTATGCTTGATTTAGGCCGCAACTTTCGAGATATTCTCCCTCAAAGCTTGCTTACTTTCAACGTTTCGATAATGTGAGCAGAATAGGTCGTATTTGAACTGTTCTAGCTTGTTCAGTTTTTTATCAAAGATGTCTATATTTTATCTGTGAGCTATCCAAGGTTAACTTGAAAAAGTGGATTGAACAGTTTTTTTGTGCAGGCAGTCGTTTGTTTGCAGCGCGCCTCTCAAAATCCATCAATTTTAGTCTTTCAAACACTCGCTGAGAGGCCGAGACGGACTCAACTTGTTTTTGGCTTGTAGCTTTGAGGTTCCGAAAAGTCATACCTAAAATTAAAAATAAAGCCGCAGCTACCTTGGCCGTACTTTTCTAATATAATTGAACCTACATTACAAGCGTTACAAGGCCCGAGTTCTAACTGTTTAATCTTAAACTATATACGTATAATACGAAGGACCACCAGAAATCTAGCTGCGTTCAGCTGGCATTAGGGCTGTAAGTACTTTTTCGACAAAACTGAAAAAATACTCAGGGAAAAGCGAGATATCATATAACTAGCAATTTTTTAAAGATCAGAATTTTCAAGCGGTTTGCTGCAATCATCTATCAATTGTTTTCGCTAAAAATGATAAATGAATCTTTGGGTTGGCAGTCAGTATTTCATTATATCTTGTGTGCAGTTTGAGTAATCGTTCATTAATTATAACCTTGCCGCAAGTGCAACTTGTAGTCGATTCGTTCTAAATTGGTAAAGGAGAAGTTTGAAACAGGCTGCATGCTTTGACTCAGTTTTAGAGTGAACTGTAATTTATTTTTATATTTTATCATAAGACAACCTCTTCGTTTACCTCATAGCTTTTACTCCTACTCGAACACCAAGGTCGTGGACAGCAGCAATTAGATTGTTGTTGTGGTAGCAGCCCGCTCCGTCTGAGCGCAAGAAGGCTTGATTGACTTCTGGCTTGTTTTCCTTGATGATTGCGAGAAGATGCTCCAAAATTGAGTAAACGGTGTACCAGTCCTGTGCACAGCTATCGAATAAATGGACGTATGACTGAACCTGGAGGCTGTCATCTGCCGTATTCCTCGAAATAACGCAACTGACATGCCAGTTGATTCCTCTCTTACCAAACCACTCGGATTGCTTTTCTCGATATTTTATCTGTAAGAATTTCATGGCCCAATCCATTACGACCATGACCGAGTTATCCTGGAGAGATTTTAGTACATCTTGCTTTGCCCGCTCTTGGTTCTCTGCTCTTAAAATGTGAGACTTCCATTGAAAAATCATTTCTTGGGCTTGGGCAAGGTCATGCTTGAAGTCCTCTTTCTGTTCACCGCTATAATAGTTAATGGAAGGCGACTCAATCTGATCAGCGATGGACTTTAATGTTACTTTCAGTTTCTCACACTCGATACAGCGCACTTGATGTTGATGCGGACAATGTTCGCTGAGTTCTGGATCTTGTAAGTCACTAAGAGCAAAGTATCTGCAGTGATCAGCACATAAGCTTTCTTCTTCACGGCAATGCACTCTATATTCTGTCTTGAGGTAGCGCTTTCCACTTTTAAGTTTATTTTGCACTTCATCGCACCAAGTTCCACTTGCGCCGCAGTTTTTCAAGCCATCTACTATCTTGCGCACACTTTCAAACGCTTCAGCGCCTCCTGCAGCTATGTTATCCAGTCCTTGAAGCGATTTTCTTTGAGAAGCTTCTCTGACTTGTAATATTCTAAACAGCGTCGATCTCGAAAGAGGCTCAAACTGATCTTCGCTGCAATGCTTTAAATACTGCTCTATCATCGTTGACCTCGCAACAATTCTGACAACATTTGGCATAAGTAACTCTTCTCCTGAATCTAGCTTCAGCGTCCTGGTTCCATAAGCCACGTCTTGGTAGAAGTACGGCTGGTTGACAAAAGACAGAAAGTGATCCAACTTCACCAAATCAATTTTCACCCGGTGGCGCAGCGGTTTCTCAACGGACAGTCCAACTCCAACAATTTTGGCGTGCGATCTTGCTCTTTTTATCTGTCGGTCGCTAAGCTTTTCAAATGGTTCGTGTATTTTCTTCAAGTATTGGGCTGGGTAACGAGTAGCATAGATGCTGAGTATCTGGATTTTAAGGCTCCTTGATGGTGCTTGCTGATATGTAGTTACTAGTGCTTTGAGGTCGCTAGGGAAACCTACTTCCCTTCTTGATTCTTGAAATGATCGTAACAGCTTATCACTGTCCTTTGGAGCAATGACGTCACAAACAGCACGACATGCTTCGTTCACCTGCTCTATGCAAAGTTCTTTTTCTTTCTTAGTCGCCTCCTCCCACTCGGAGTTAAGTCGGAAAGTCAGGGGCTCCACAGTTTTTCCCGAAAGCGAGGCAATGTTACTGAGTGCCTCATTGTATACTTGAAGAACATCAGATTCGTTTTCAGGGGACTCATCATCGAACGAACTGTCAGGAGTCATTGCTTGCCATCGTCCAAGAGACCAGGCAGGATCATTCTTAGTATGACTTTCTGGTACTGGGGTGTAAATGCAACTCTCGATAGAAACAAGTGCTTCTTCTTTGGTTTTTCTATAGAGGGAAGTCAACAGACAAATAAGTCAAAAGAAAATTGTATTTTTTTTTTCTTACAGAGGATGAATGTACAGTAAGTATCTAAACAAAAATTAACTGAGCTTTGAGCAGCCAATCTTTTATATTCAAGGACATTTTTACTTTCTTAGAGTTTGTCATACTTCCTCCTCGCGTTCTAAGAGTTGTTTTTATTAAAGGAAGAGTACACAAGAAATCGTTAGGAATTAATACCTTGATAAGTTTGGTTCGGTTTCTTCCATGGTATCTGTGGTATCTTCCGTTTCAGTACTTTTCGTTTCTCTCAGCCAAAGCCTTTCAGTCTTAAGTCTGCTAGCATGAAGCTTTCTACAACTGTTACAGATGGCTAAAAAATGCAGAGAAAGAGTGACAAGGGTTGCCACAGACTCTCCCCTAACAGACAATATTGTGGTTGCTTGTTTTATGCTATTTAATTTCTTTTGCTTACATCAAACACACAAAGATGTATGCAACTAGGTCACTAGAAGTAGAGGTTTGTACTCTTAACCCTCTACATTTTTTAAGTGGTGAAAGGCAGTTGCTGTTAATAAAAACAAAACAAAACAACCTCAGGAAAGGACGATTAGAGAAGAAGAAAGACCTGGGAACGAGGTTGCAAAACAACTCAAGATTCCGTTACCTTGAAATCCCCCAACCCCTCACCCCGGTTACCGGGAAAGAACCGTTACTTTGTACTCCAAAACATAAATCGCCTTATCACAACAGCAAACAGAAGGAACATATCAAACTGATAATGTGACTACACGTTGTTTCATCTTCATATTTAGTACCTTTTTCGTCTGCATAAAAGTTAATTAAAAGTTATTCTATATCACAGAAAACTGCTTACGTGATCCAATTGGAATGGTAACTCCGAAAACTTGAAATATATCTCTTGCCATCTGGATGTTGAAAACTCGGTCTCCTTTTACCGCTTCTTGTTTTCCCTTGTGATCAGGGTACTGGCAAGCAGTTGTTGGGCATTTCCAGTATGCTCCCAATTTTCCTCGGTGCCGAGGACGCACGGACATTTCTGCAATGTTTCCTTCGCTTAGATGAAATTGGCCCGCTCGAATCAAAATTAGCTGGTACTCGGAAATATTTTCCCTTGAAAGATGGCAGCGCCTTAGGTGGCAGGAAATATCAGAGGTACATTCCAGCAGCGATGTTAGTGATTTCTGTCCTCTGAATTCTCCACACCCAGAGCTGTCTTTGGTTTTCATAAAGCATGCAGCCATCTTTCACAAACGTAACTTCTTCTTTGTTACGCGTTTGTTGTCAGTGTTTTCGAATGTTTGTAAAGGAAATGATAGAACAGGGAATTGAAAATGGATCCGGAACTGACTTCATAAAAGGGCCTTTGCCTATAAAATTTAATAGAGAGGCAAAAAGGGTCAAAGTCTCCTTGGGAAACTTTCGTTTTTGAAGGAGAAGTGATTTCTGTCAATGTATAATTTACAGAAAGTGATTTTCGGCCAAGAAAAATTGTTTCTTGCAGTAGCTCTTATCTGAAGCCACATCACGTTTTTTTCTCGTGTAACATATTTAATCCAAACGTCCAGATCCAGATTCCAGAAAGTCATTACAATTACAGTTCAGCCCACGTACATGTACTTGTTGCGATATGGAATTTTATTTATTATTTGGCCTTGACTGTACACAATCTTTCAGATAGTAAATTAAGAAACTTGAAAAACAGACCTATTCGTCTCATAAGAAACATCACTTGGCGTGCGTGCGACCTGCCCTGACTTATTGACATTTTGACGGCCTTATTAATTAAAATACCGAAGTGCCAAGCTGCTTGTTGCTGATCTACGTATTAAAAATACGTAAGTACCTCTCGTGAATTTTTCCACATAAAAACGATAAAAGCTCCAAGTCTTCATGAGATTCGGTTTCAAAAAACGTATATTATGTCCTTTCTTCGCGAAATACAGTAATGTTTCTTTGTTGCAGCTCAGTAGTAATTTTTCAATTGAGCGATTATCTCTGGTCAGTAATTTGCTGCTTGCGATAGTTTGACTTTCGCAAGTTCAAGAAAGGAAAAACGCTATTTAAAGTTATTTTTTACTTCTGTTTTTCCCTTTTAGATTAGCCTGACATTATCTGAAAGAACGAAATATAAAGGACAACAAAACAGTAATGAACTTCTCATACACACAAGAATGAGCAGCCGTTGTTTACTTTGTCCATTTATACCCGCTCATGAAATAATTTAACATGGTACAATCTAAAAATACGTTCTGGTTTTAGTTTTTAAATACAGGTTTTCCAATGCCTTTTTCGATTCATTGGTGTCAATTCAGGCGAAATAATGCCCCAAAACAAACACTTTGTAAATTTTAAAAGTCATATGATCGCGACCTCTGACACGGCCGATAACTATGCAAACACGCATTATTTGCTGATTTTCATCTCTTATCGCCTTGTGATCTCAAGGGATACCCACACGTTTTAACCCATAAAACGGTAAAATAGGCTTAAAACTTTACTTTAATGTGTTTTTTATGCTTGATTTAGGCCGCAACTTTCGAGATATTCTCCCTCAAAGCTTGCTTACTTTCAACGTTTCGATAATGTGAGCAGAATAGGTCGTATTTGAACTGTTCTAGCTTGTTCAGTTTTTTATCAAAGATGTCTATATTTTATCTGTGAGCTATCCAAGGTTAACTTGAAAAAGTGGATTGAACAGTTTTTTTGTGCAGGCAGTCGTTTGTTTGCAGCGCGCCTCTCAAAATCCATCAATTTTAGTCTTTCAAACACTCGCTGAGAGGCCGAGACGGACTCAACTTGTTTTTGGCTTGTAGCCGCGGTAAGGAAAAGAATTTGAAAACAAAAATAGCGATTTTAGTATATACCTATCAAAGCCTCTTCACCAACAAAAAATAAAGGAAAACTATTTTTGGTCGCGAAATCGAGTGGACCACTTTTAGGGAGACTGCCTCTTAATATTCATAATGTCGAATTTTTATGTGCACTATTTGTTTCATTTTACTCGGTGTTTGAAAATGTAGCTTGCATGGTAAGCGCTCGAAAGGCGAGGGAGGCGGAGAGAGGAATTTGGGCACGCGAGAACGCGAATGCCCTCACGAGCCTGATTTTCTTCCATTCTCTCTCCAGTCACGTTCGAACGCTTGTTGTGCAGGCTATAAATACTAGTGCTTCTTGTGTTGTTCTTTTACCACAGGTGGCCCAGACTCTGTGGTAGTTGGTTAGACTTTGAATTTATAAGAGAATGTATGAAATAAACTAAATAGGCCCTAAATTGCACTTTTTTTGACAAAAATAGAAATAAAAATGACTTACCTTGTGTTTGTGTTGTGTTTTTTACTGTCTGTTCGCTTCTAGAGCCATTTGGAAGCTGTTTTATCGAAGTTTTAGATTTTGAATTGCACTAACAATAAGAAATAAGTAGCAGTTGTTTAGCTCAGCAGTTGTCATTCGTCCAGCTCCATCATTTTTGCTGTTTTTGCTTTGTTCTTAGGTAGTTGGCTATTTCTTCGTCGCAAAACGTGCGAAATTTTCCGCCATTTTCTCGGCGCTACCAAAACAGCTGTGCTAAAAACGTAACCTCAACCTCAGAGCTTCTGGGTTTCCGTTTCTTTTTCTAGCGATATTCTGTACTATTGACGTCATTTTATAGGATAATAAAAACGTCTTCCAAATTAGGTCAACGTCTGCTGGTCATGAAAAATTAGCTGTGGAACTTAAGCCAATCAGAAACGGAGAAATATTTTGAGTGAATAATAATTATAATGTTAATTAGTTAAGGCTGCGCAAACAGGGGAGGAAGGCGTTGGTTGCACATTGGCTATAGTTTTGAGTACCCTGATAATTGAAAACAACCGACTTTCTTCTATGTCAATAAACTGAAGGCAGGATGCTACTGATTTAACAGGATACTTTCATAGCAGCTTAACCGATAAAGGGCCCTATAACTTGGTGAATTTCATTTACATTACTGAATTAACTTGTAAAGTAGAAAGACCGAATGTTCACTTATGCCGTTCGATACCTCCGCCATGTAAGCAGTTTATGTATCTGCTTATTAATTCACCTCCATCAAACTGATGATTCTTGCAAATGTTTCAGGTTAGTGACCTGGGGAGAAGGAAAACTGTCCGTAATAACGAGGTATTCATGATTTACCGTGATAAAGTCTCTGTAAGATTTACCAGTTATTATATACAGTTCACTGTACATGTAAGGGAGATGAGATGAGACGAGAGTTAGTCTTAGCCAGTTGCATTTCTGCTCTCAAACGGGAACATTTTTAAATGAGTGGAGGCCGTTTTTTTGAAATCTCTATCCTCATTTGATGTTGTGACTTGGGCAGGAACGACCCTACAGCTCGTGCGCGTACAGCAAGGAAACTGCAACAAAGCTAACATGTGCTTTCGAAAACGATCGCTCTGCAAGCTATACAGCACTGGGTTTATAGCGGAGTTGAGTGTTACAAACACTATACTTGTCGTGTGTACAGAGGAATATATCTGTAGGCTCGTAAACGAAGATATCACGTAAATAGCCAACACTGGGATCCAACAAACGGAGTAAATGACACTGACTGTTACAACCAGCCGTGCAGATTTCTTGCGGTATCTCAGCTTGTTCTGTTGTGCAATTGTTGAGCTGGAACTGATGGGACGAAACCATAGTTTGTAAACCAGCTTAGAATACAGGTAAATCATAATGGTGATTGGCAAGGCACCGTATACCACAGCGCATGCGGGACTGTGAAACTTCGAGAAGTTAGCACTTGGCCAGTGGAATAAGCAGAATTCACTAACAGGGTCGTATCGTGCGTAAAGAAACAGTGGCATGTTCCAAGACGCTGCCATCACCCACAAGACTACGACAATGATCTTGAGTTTGCCAGCTGTGATCCTTTTTCGCTCGTCATATGGAAATTTGATGGCAAGGTATCGTTCTAAAGCGATGCAAACGAGAGAGAAGGCCGAAGCAAGCGCGCCAACCCACGTAAAAGCTTCACCTGTGAGAAGCTGGCAAACAAAGTCACCTATTTCTCCCTTTGGGTGGACAAATACCAAGGTGAAGATGTAGCGAATTGCGATGAAGACTGCCACAGTCATATCAGCAACAGCTAAATTGACGAGGAGAAAATTCATTGGAGTGCGCATTATTCTGTATTGAGAACAAATTTCAATAAAACTTATTTTAGCAATAAGTACATTAGTTAAAAACAGATCGTAGTTAAGGTTAGGCAAATCTTAGAAGGCAATTTATAATTAAAACACAGACTTCGGAACAAATGTCGTCCCTTAAAGGCGCCCACAAGGCTACAACTTGCAACGCTTTTTCATTTCACAGTACATATTTAAAGCTATTTAAGGTGGCTTCGAATCCTCTTAACGGAAATGTTTTAAACTTTTTGTTTTGTTTTGTTTTGTTTTTTTGTTTTAAACTTAAACATTTTGAACGTGAAAGGTCTGTTGAACTTTACGGCTTCTTACGGTTTGTACGCATAAGGATACAACTTGTTTACCAGATTAATTAACTAAGTACAGCTTTCAAAAAATCAGGGGGATTAGTTTAGTTGGTAGAGTGCTTGACTGCAGAGCGGGAGGTCGTGGGTTCGTCCTAGGGTCGGAATAGTTATAATAACTGAGAAATGAAAGTACTCCGTTTGCATTGCGAACAGCTAGATCTTCGCGTGCACTCCACCTTGGGGAAATTACGAAATACATACTGTATACGTTCTACCGCCTTCGCGATAGAATTAGGTCATAAATGATTCTTGAAAGCAGCACCAATATTTGGCCATATTTCAAAAAAATGTGAAGAACCAAGATGGCGGTCTCAAAATGCCCCTGTTTGACCTTTAGCAATGCCTTTAGTACGTAAAATCTCATTGGTTTCTAGTATCAATTACGGGCTATAGTACGTTCAACACCGTACAACACACATACAAACCACACAAAGCGAGAACTACCCTCAAAGGTCCTCAAAGCCACACAGATACATTCGCTCAGACACATGACATATGTCAGCTATTTTGGGCAAAACATTTTGTCATGTACATGTCTTATTCGTGATTTTAAGTGTAACTACTATTCAATGGTCGACAAAATAAGACGAGTCTTTGGAACACTAAATGGCGTTTATCAATTTTTTAAAAAAAGGAGAAATTTTCACAATTCTCGTCCCTTCGTTTTCTTTGGACTAAAATGAATCAATAAAAAGCATCTCACACTCTTTAAATCTAACGAAATTTTACGGCTAATATCATTGACCCGACAATTTCAAGTCAGAACTGAATACGCATGGAATCTTCAGTTTTATTATGAAAGGAGTCGTGTCCCTCGAAAAAACCCAAAGCTAATGAGAACAGTGATCATCTACTGAGGAAGTAAGAGTATTATTATCTTACCTGTTGCGGAACACAACTAAACAGACCAGGCTGTTACCAAACAGATCAGCAATGACAAGGAAGGCAAATGCTGCTGTGATTCCGATCTGTGCGGCCTCAGAGTACTTAAACAGCGTCATCTAAATGGCCTTTGAATGACTGAACAAAGTAACAGATGTTATGAAAAGGGCGCTAACTTTAATTTATACTTCTGTGAAAAGGCTTCTTAATCGGAACTAAAGCTAACACTGATCGCTAAAAGACCAGACTAACTATTTCTGTTTTCTTTAAGTGTAAGCTGTTACCAAACACAATAATGTCTTTTTTTAAACCAAGAAATCATATTAATGGAGAAAGTCGCCATATAAAAGTTAGGTATGGAATGGCGTTAAGAGTACTAATACTAAACGATCAGAACCAAAAGACATGTCAACCATGCAGTCATGCTTACTCGATACGTCGGCCTCTATAGCTTTACCTATAGAATCACGTGGAGTTTCAGTATTCCGGCAGTTTCTAGTGAAATAAGATGCGTGTCACTGAGTATTGGTATAGAGTGATTAGCAGGAGAAAGTTTTCGGTACTGTGTGGGGTTTAGATTTAATATTATTTGGTAAAATCCAACTAGTGGTCTATTATCAATGTTGCGTTCTGATTGGTTGAGCTTCTACTAGGCTATATGTTATAGCCCACTAGTAGCGAAAAGCGCTGACTTGAAAAACCGAAACAATGGCGGCTGAATCCCGTTTTGCTAGCTAAAGTTGTTGTGTTTCGATATTTTTGACCAACTAATTGGATTTTACTAAAACAACTATTCCTCTCGCCCTCATGGCCTATGAGTCAATAGCCCATTCGGGCTTGAGGAATAGGCTTGTAATGATTAAACAAAATTTGATATTGATCCTAAATTTAAACCCACTTCCGCCCTGATCAAACACTTTCTTGTTACTACGATTTGGCGTGTGTGTGGTTTTTTTTTTTGCACTCTTCACCACAAAAATCTCCTCCAAAATTATTCTCCACCTTAATTTATGAATTGCCTCTAGTTAACTGGTGTCAAATAGAAATTGCTAGAAACAACTCGGCGGATAATGCATATTTACATGGCTATTGCAAAAATAAAAAGCCGAAGTAATAATTAAAGCCAGACGGCTAGGCATCCGATGCAAACCAGGAAGATCAAATTGTCATAGATTGACACTTATTACCGGTAACAGGTTTTACATCTCTGCGTCTGAATCAATTAGGAACGCCTATTTCAATTTGGAACGGCTCAGCCGTTCTTTCCGCATAGCC